TCGGCTTTAACGATTTATATGGTAACGTCCTTAGTGAAACGTTTTATGGTAAACACCGGACAAGTAAAACACGTGTCCAACACATGATCTGAATTTAAACGAAAAACCTTAAATCGTCGGTTTTGTTTGTTTGGATTCGTTTAAAGAGGAATCGATTTTTATTTCAATTCACACTCACGTCCAACGTTTTGCTAAAACGGGATTTGAATTGATAATGTTGACTCCTTCTTTAACCGGAAGGCGATTACCATAACAGAGAAATTAATTAGAATTATAAACGTGGGTTTTAGTTAACGAATGTTTCGTGGAAATTAACGTTTTGATAACTCGACCCCTATTACGATGATGACGTGTATATTATTAATAGTTCCCCCTTATTTATTTATTCTACCAATTCGTTTTAGATCAATCATCACCACCACCTTAAGCGATCCTCTCTTTTAATGGCGTTTATTAGATATTTTTGAATGATAATAATTCAAAAAGGATCAGATGGCGCGGAGATGAGAAAGGGCTACGAGAGCAACGTCGTCGTCTGTATTTATAATTTTAGATGCAGCTATTTCCTGTGGATTTCTCGTCGTCGTCGGCGGCGCTAAAAGAACGACTACGACGAAGAAGTCTTATATTTTTGGATGGTGGTCATTCCTATGGACTAGAACTTGGGCACCGCCCCGATTCTTTCTATCTCCACGTTCCAGTTTTTTGTGGAATTCTATTTTAAAATTATTGTTGGAAACTAAAAAGATCCTAATCCATAAAGTTCACGTTTTCTAAACAGAAAGAATTTAACGATTTTTTTTCTACAAAAAAAAAGGAAATGCTTCAAATTAAAGAGATAGTAAAGCGTTTAAGTGTTTGTGGTTATGCTGGTGGTAGATACATTTTGTGGATGTACTCGACGTCGTTTAACGTCACAATTTTTTTTTTATTTGGGTTCGGCATTTTTGTCTCGAGAAACAGCCGCAGACGCGATACGGCCATGTGTTCGGCAACAGGGGCGAATTGTTCTTTGGACTGCATCTGCCCTGCGCACTTTCATCTGTATTACGAGCATCGAAAACATCACCTGGATTCTTCCGGTCACCTCAAAAAAAGGTGTTGTAGAAGAAAATATAAACGAACGACGATAGACGAAGACCATAAAATGCTTAGGAATTTCATCGAATATTTACCCAAACAAAAACTTAAGAGGCAGGAAGTTCAGTGACGAAATTCAGTTCAGGAAGTGAAACGGGTTTTAAAGTAAAAAACAAACAAGAACGACGAAGAAGAGAGGAGATTTTAAAGGCTGCTTCTGGTGAATTAATAAGCACGCTCCGCTTTTTTAGACGTGATAAGTTTCTAAATATGGATATCTGGAAAATTAAATTCCAACAAAACCTTGAAACCAGGGTCAATATGTGTTGAGATGATTCATAATCTAATCTAACTAAAAACGATATAAAACTTTTTGTTACTAATTTTTATAAGACCTACTTTTCTTTGTTAGTCACATCCATTAATATGCTAATCCAACCGTAATAAACGCTGCAACGGCAGCACTCAGACGAAGAAGGAACCTGTTCGTCTGGTTCGGCTGAAAAGTATCGTATCCCCTTGGGGGAACACCATTACATAAAAAAAACTCCTCCTTCTTTCATTCGTTTAACATTACTTCTATATACAAGAAATGAGTTCGTAACAACGCAGCGTAACCCAAAACCGTTGCGACTATTTCGAGACCAAAATAAGAAAACGTTTTTCGAAAGAAAGAGTAATCCTTCTTGTCCTTGGTGACAAAACGTAAGAAAGGGGTGGCGATGTTTGCTTTTCCATCCGAAGTTGTTGACTAACGTTTAGAGTGAAAAGAAGGAATTTAAAATACTTTAATGAAAGAAGAAAACAAATTTTTTTTTGTGTTCTATATTAATTTAGTTTTGTTTTAAACCGAGTAAGAACAAAGACCAATTAATTCCATAATTGTTGATTACTAATCGGCGAGCTCTTTTTATCATAACTTTATCAGCTCGGTGAACGTCGAGGGTCACATCCTAGGCGTGTTTGGGTCCAAAGCGTTCCTTCGTTATCATGTGTCAATAATTCCATCTAGTCGAAAGAGTTATGAGTCCTCAAATAGACTCTTAGAATGTTGTTTACGATCGTTTCTTTTAAGAAGAAACGGCCAATAACAAAATAAACTAGCAACAATAAAAGATTCGATACGAGTGAGTCAGAAAATCGGGGACAAAGAACGCACATTTGAGGACGCTAGTCCGAAAATAATCACATATGAATCACACACCAGCTGAGAAAAGCTCACCTCAACATTGCCGTTGAGAAGTAATAACCTCTTTCGCTATAGTTTTTGTCGCGCTTAGAAACGCATGGAGCTTTCTCGTTTTCTCGAGGAAAGGTGAACGAGTGAGACTAATATTTATTAGTTACGAGTTTCTCTTTTTAGTGATCGTTGTTGTTATTTTATTACTCAAGTTTCCGTTAAGTAATCAATGTTTTAATGAATAAGGAGATTGTTCATTTTAATTTTTATAAATAGGTTATTTCTAGTGTTAGTTCTAGTTTTAATTGTTATTAAGCGCTAGATTGTAGTATATTTTTCATTAAACTAAAACTAGAACTAACACTAGAGCTAGAACTAGAAACATTCGGGATTAATCGTACGTCTCTCAAGACGACTAAACCCGAATATTTATAGTTCTAGGTGTAGTGTTAGTTCTAGTGCTAGTGTCAGTTCAAGTTTTATTTGTTGTTTAGTGCTAGATTGTTGTATGTTTTTATTAAACTAGAACTAACTCTAGACTTAGAACTAGAAACATTCGGGTTTAGCCGTCTTAAGAAACGAACAGCTAAACCCGAAGGTTTAGTGTTAATTCTAGTTTAAATTGTTATTCAGCGTTGGATTATTGTATATTTTTGTAGAACTCAAAGTGGAACTGACACTGGACCTAGAACTATGAATATCATCAGCGTACATGTGTACTGACGAGTGTCTAACCCATTTGAGCAGTTGAGAAGTGTACAGAGTAAATTGTAGCGGAGCTAACACGAAGATCCTTGAGGCACACCAGCCTCCATAGGTAACGGAGTGAAAATTCCTCATCCAGTAGTGTCACCACCTGAACTCGGCCAGATAAGAAGCTGTTTATAAGAGGCACTGCCGAATCAGATATACCAACATAATGCAAGAGGGATAACAGCATTCGGTGGTTGACTTTGTCGAAAGCCTTGCTGTCATCTAGGAGCACAACCACTCCACTCTGACCATCATCGCGAGCCTTCAAGAGATCATCCATGACGTTTAATAAGGCAGTGGCACAACTATAACTAGGTATATTTGTGCCAACTGTTGTTGCACTGTCTTGTGTTTTGTTTTTGGCCACCAAACCATTGAGGCATAGGCACCATGGGTCCGATTATTGCTAGGTCCCGTAGGCCTAGTTCCTTCCAAGCAGCTTGTGACAGATCTGGTTAGCCATGATGGCCTTTTTCCTCACCTTTACTAATTGTAAGTGGGAGTTCCAGTTTAGTTTACTGTCTACTATTACCCCTAGGTATTTGACTTAGGTTTTGAGGTTAATTGTTCTGACTTCAGCGGAGGGTGCTCTCAATTGTAGCTTCCTTCTGCGAGTGAAAGGGACTATTTCGACTTTATTTGGATTAATGCTGAGCCCTTTGCTTCTGCACCAAGTGCTAGTAAGTAGTAGGGCTTTCTGCATTAGTTGGGTTATGATAATCAACGAATCATGAATCCGTTTTTTCATCAAGTCCGGTTTTTTCCGGTGTTCATCAAGTCATCAACCAGACACCATAGGAGAGGTGAAAGCACTCCCCCTTGGGGACACCTCTATCCAACTTTTGACTACAACGGACACTCCCTTCCCCATATTAGGTCATTATATCGCGATTTTACTATATTTGTGATAAACCAAATAAACAACAATGATTCATAAACGTTTAATCAGCTTTAAAAACCTCAAGTTTAACTTGAAAATGTGGGTGTTTGCGGTTTAGTTTAAAGAATGTATTAAACATTTCCGATAAGATAGTTGAACTCGAACGTTTTATTATGAGTTGCATCGCTTCAATTCAACTTGGTGGGTTCTGAAAGATTTCAAATAGCGTCACAATCTATCATTGTGGTCGCACCTACAAATTTCGCAGATTTCATTTCGGAATCTACATGCGTGCTAGACCGAGCGCGATATAAATAGCGTTAAAACGCACGCGTACGGACCCATCCTTGTTTACAAGATGCGCTCGGGCAATTGCATTGTGGTCTTTGAACTTTGCGTTTACGTGGACGTTATGAAAGAAATAATTCTTGATAGCAATTAAGATAAAATCGTTTCTTAACAAGATTTGTTAAAAATTGATTTATTTTTTTCTTATTTAAATTGGTCCAAAATCAATTTCGACTAGTAATAAAATGTGGTGAACATAAAATATTAACGATTACTAAAGAGTATGAGGTCCATTTATTTATTCGATATGGTTTAAAAATAGAAGTGGAACGGATTGCAAGGACAGCGGGGTTTGCGCTAGATTGGAAATGTAAACGTTTTTCTTTACAGCAAAATCAATAAATTTAGATTTGTTAGGTCCACTAAAAACGACATAATCCTTCAAAAAAATATCTTAGCATAAAAATTATTTCTTAAAAGGATAAAATCCAATTCAAAGATTCTATCTATCTATTTCCAGTAGGTAACGGGATAAAAAAGGGATCCAACCGAAACGTTTTTAAGGATTCAATCGTTTTAAAATCCAGGTAGAAACCCAACTGAAAATATAATGACCAAAAACCGAAGTGACCAAACTCGTTGGGAACATGGGATCTGAATAACTAGATAAATCACCCACTGAACAAAGAAAAATTGCTGGAACTCGTTTTACACCTGAACGTAATTGCGTGTTAACAACAAATTAACTCATCAAGGATTAAACACGCGAAACAAAATAGTATTAAAATAAAGATAATAGAACAAAAAGAAATAACTTGCCTGTGAGCTATTAAATGTACAATTAACATATTTCCATGTGGAAATTTCTGTGCAATTACACCCGGGCACCTGGCAAATATCAACCACCGACTTGAGAGGTACAGGAAGGGTTTCCGCCCTTTTAACCTTTCCCAATGAAACGATTTCTTCCGGGCTTGAACAGGCCGAAACAACGACCAAAAGGGGCACCAGCACGTAAAGAAGCACTGCGGTGATATCCATGGATGCACGGCACTTTGCGCAAGACATGGTATCCTATCATCATCTTTTTTGGAAGCCGTTTGAAAACCGAACACGGAGGCACATAGCACTTAAAAAAACTTTAAGGAATGGATTAGGATTTTTTCCGATTTTTTTTTTGATTGGGTTATTAAATTGTTTTTCGAAAATGCACGCGCGCTTTTTTTTCGGATCGTGACGTAGACCGTACGACGCGATGTCGGTTCGGTGAATGGAGAGGCTGGCGTGGGGAAGTGTTAAAACTAAAAGAAACACCGCTGGATGGACGATCGCCGCCGTTCCAAGACGTGGTGGGGTTCGGTTGTGGACGCCAGTGGCGTCGGGACGGGAGGACGTTGACTTTTTGATCTCAAAAATTGTGGTGAATCTGGGTTTTGGTGGTGATAAATTTGGGTTTATGTCGAAATGAATTTTTAATTAAATTAATAAAAATTGTAATCTTAATTTTTGGTACATTTTTTAGATCCCAACCTCACCAAGACTCTTGCTCCACATATTAATGTAGGATTTGATATCCAAGTGTTTCCATCTATTCCGATGATATCGGAAATTCATATAAATTTCAGTATGTTTAGGCTAACTTTTTTACTTAAAATTGTTTTCCTGATAGTGTATGGTTTTTTAGACAAAAAATTATTTTATTATTTTTTCTTAAGCATGTTAATGTTTGATTATTAAATCTTTAGTAATTGCGGCTAAAAGATATAGCTCTTAGAAGGTTGTGCAAAGAAATACGGCAAATGAAATGATTCAATTAAAGGTAGTTTAGTTCACCTTGATCTGTACATTCTTCGTCTACTTACATAATTTACAAACATAAATACCCGCACTGTGCTTTATATATAACCAGCATAAACAAGATTCTCGATTCCCTCTGGGTTTGTGGCTTGTTGAGTCTTCATTTGTAACGTCTCGAACACCCAAATCTCGTTCAGCAATTCATTTTGAAAGTATTGGAGAGGTAGTAAATGAGCAAAATTACACATTTTGAAAACTATATAATAAATATATTGCCACACAATGCTACAATGACATTTTCTTAAAAATTACAGTTTCCAATATTCATCACAAAGTGTCTTGTGTCGTGTTAATTAAACATTTAACAATTATTTTTTAAACATTTCTTTATTTGTATTGAAAAAATCCAGTATTATTAACACATAAACGATGCGATGAAAGCTTGGATGACTAAAAGCCTTTCTCAAAATGGTTGAGTAACCAATTTTGACTTGAAGTGAAAGAATACAATTGCAAGAAGAATTTGCGTCAAAGAATTCCGCTTCTCTTGAATAATGTTCCCGGAGATCCAGCTAACATATCAAAACTCTCTGAAGATGTGAAAATTGAAAATCTACTTAAAAAAACAAGCGTCCTGATTCAGCCAATGGATCAGGGAGTAATATCAAGATTTAAATCTTATTTAGCTGAAATCTTTTCTATAACGTGTTACTGAAACCAAGGTAAATCATTTATTCTTGAGTTTTGGAAAAAAATCAATATTAAGGATGTCGTGTGACGAATTATAGAATGACTTGCAACATTAAACGGAGCGTGGACAAATATTTTACCTGAATATTTATAAAAGTGAGCTCTGAACTTCTAGATATTAAACAAAACATTAAGTTTTGCAAAAGAAGTTGGTTTTGAGAAGTTAGAAGAAAATGATATCGTAGATTTGTTGAATGGTGATTAGCAGTGAAAGAAATAGTTGAGCCGGAAGAAGAAGAAGAAGAGACAATTTGATAATTCGACAATTATGTTTAAAAAACATAACCATTTTGAAGAGGGAACGACCATCCTTCTTGAAAATGATCTCTTGAAATGATGTTTTTCATGGTATTATTGTAGTTATAAGCTATCGTAAAGAATTCAAAAGAGAAAAGGAGAGGATGTAAAACAACAAAATTTGGACAACCTGTGCAATGTTGGTTTGCGAACAACAATGGAAACTGAAGAAATATGGAAGTCATCTGAATCAGAATAGTTTAACGTTTATTATTTTGCTGCATTATTTTTTATTTTTATACATTGTCAAATTATTACATTAAAATATTTTGGGATCTGTTTCAATCTGGTCAAGATCCTCTACTTTTTTGTCCAAGTCTTTTTCAGTTTTGACGCTTCCATTTTAAAGAACCCAACCCTGTTTTCAAAATTTGCACAAATCTTATACTACATTTGAATGTGATTTATCACTGTTTTGCATCCAAGTAGTCAAAATGTTTTAATTTCCTCTTTCTTTGATTTTGCGAATATCTGAGTATACAATGGATAATTTTTAAAAGATGTAGTTTTTAAGTTTTCAATCATTTTGTTAGAAAACTCTGCCATTGTCGGACTGTAAAATGGCAGAATGACCCCGTAGAAGAAATATATCTAAGCCAGTTCCTCAGCTTATTCAGATTTAAGTGATCTTAAAAGAACAAATTCTGTAAAGTTGTCTTGACAAAGAAATGTGAATTTATATTGTTTGATGATTTTCTTTCCATTTTATGTCTAATAAATAAAATTCCTTTTTGCACTTAAATGGATTTTTATTTAAATTTTTCTCTCAACCGGTTTCTTGACAAACAAAAGTGTCCTATAGAATGATTTTGTAACAAAATGACGTAATCTCCTGAAGATGCTGTAAATATATAGCGAAACCGGTTGAGAGAAAAATTTAAATAAAAATCCATTTAAGTGCAAAAACGAATTTTATTTATTAAATGTGAATTTGTTTTCATTGTGTAGTTCAGGCTGAAAATCTATCAAACCTGCTTGAACATAGTGGGCTTTACAGAATATCCTTACGTGTTATATTTTTGTGCTAACTCTATAATTGTTTCATTATACGACCTTGGTTAATTCTTTGATATGGTTCGAGCAATGTATCAATAATTTGCTGTTACATAGTAAAGTATATTGTTTTCAGTATCTTTAATAGAAAATAATAAGTTTAGTATCAGAATTCTATATGGGTTGGGATGTTATAAGAGCTGTGTCCTTGACCAGATTGTGTCACTTGAATCTTATTCTTTTTTCTTACAAGGTGCATTCATCAAATAATATTTTGAGGTATCCCAACTTTAAATTACGTGGGGTCGTTGGTCTAAGGATGTCAAAATAGCTTGAACGGCGAAAAATTGTGCATGCCTTATGATTTGACTTCTTTGTTTGCTGGTATTTATGCAATGTGCCAGTACTCATACACATCCATATTGGGGGGCTGCCTATTCTTCAAATTCCGTTATATCGTTTTTTTATTCCAGGATATACAACAAGGATGTCAACTATCTCGCTGGATAGTTATCCGATCGAATTGGCTAAATTACTTGAATAACATATAGAACTGAAAATAATCGAAAAATGCAAGTCTTATAAAAACAACTGTTGTGAACAGTTGATTATAACTTCAACAGACCATTGATCAACTACAATTCAATTAAGTTTCGCATTCGCTTCAGTTAGTATGACGAAGCAAATGTTGAACTTAAACTGTGTATAAGTTGATCGAGAAACTTTCTGATTGGTTAGTAAACTCCTGAATTTGCCATTTGTATCAGATAAGTTCCCAACCAGTCAGAATGCTTGTTGAAGTTGGAACATAGCTATTATAATTGTCAAATATCGCCTGGAATCCAAATTGCTATTTCGGAAAAATCAGATAATGTCAGAAAATCAGCTCTAAAATTTTTCAAACCCTTGTTAGCAAATTTTTTCTTGGGAAAATGAAAATTATATCAAACTAATTATAGTCCCTTAAACTTATTTATGTATCAAGGCCAGATAACCGTAAGTTTTATTACGACCTTTAAATATAACTTTCATGTGTGATATAAGCTCGAAATTACAGACCGCGTCCAATATTTTTACAGAATGACTTTAATGAATTGGATCAACTGTATGTGTATAATTCCATATCTTTTGGCGAAAACTAAAGAATATATAAAAAATCTCAAAGCGATTTATAAAATACAAATAAGCTATTTTTTAGTTTTTATTTTTGAGCTTTTGAGGTTAAACGAAAGAGAAATTGTTTTCTTAATATCAGCAGGAGGAGATTTTAAATTAAAAGAGAAAGCGAATAATAATATAAGCAACCCACCCAAACACATCTATATACATATCCGCTATACTAATAAAAAATTCAAATAGGTACTTTTTGTTATTTCGTTTAATAGCCTATGATTCATTTTAAAACCTATTTCGCTTAACTTTAAAATTCTCGTTATAAACTCGTATTTGTTGAGAACATTAAACACACACACAATTACCTCTAAACGACAGAACCGACGGAAACGCGTCGTGCGTTCGAATTGTGGCTTAAAGATTCACATCCGGAACAGGAAACAGGAGGGCACATCACGTACCGCGTTTGTAACAGGAGGATCTTAAAGGATTTTTTTAATATTTGTATGGGATTCACATTCTTTTGTCATGATATTAATGACTATGCATTATTACGATTGTAGTTGAAATTTAATTAGAATCGGAAATATAATTCTCCTTTATTATTTATTAAGGTATTTATTATTATTTTTTATTTTTTGTTTCAGTGTTCATTCAAACGAACGTATGTTTCTTCGCGATTTTGTAAATTGCGTTGAAGGAACAAGCGGCGGTCGGTTAGCGCAATGGCTTCAACCAGGTTCTAGATTAGATCCATCGAAATCCCACGTGATCTTTTCCCGTGAAGAATTTCGTTGCGGTTGGCCGGCGATGATCACAATTCTCACTTGCGATCAATACGCCGATGTAGTTTACGTAAATCACGTAACAGTTGAGGCGAAAGCGATTCCGATCGACAAGAAAGATCTGGGCGATTCAGATGCAGCCAGGAAAATGCGTAGGGTCAGTCAACCGGATCCGTTAGCTTTTGGTGGACTTCCCGTACCAACTCTAACACATCCTTACGAGCCGACGATAAGAGATAAAATGTGTTTTCATGCCATAACGGCAATGAAGCCGTATCAGAATTATTCATTTGAAGAATTACGGTTTACGTCGCCTCCGGTGAGGAGATCAAGCGAGAATATGTTAGTTAGGCCGAATGGTGATGGGTCTTATAGTGCTACGTGGACGCCAGCTTCGATTGGCTGTTATTCAGTGGTTATTACTATCGATGGTTATGAAATGGAGGAGGTTTTTAAAGTCGAGGTGAAAGAACCTCCGCAAGGATTAACTCCACCTACGCAAAATTTCGCGAAGAAATCCGCTCATCAACCGAGTAAATTAAGAAAATTTATCGCTAAAAATTCGGCGGGATTAAGAATAAGAGCTTTACCTTCTTTACAAAGCGAACAGTTAGGTATTGTCCATGTTAATGGCACCATAGCTTTTATTGATGAAGTTCATAATGATGATGGTGTTTGGTTGCGTTTATCTGCTGAAACAATAAAACAATACGGGTGTATTGCCACTGGTGAAGCATGGTGTCTTCAATATAATCAACATTTAGGAAAAACTTTATTGTTACCGGTTGAAGAACCGAAATCGACGTTAGATGAGGTTAACGTCCCAACAAATAGTTCCGTTAGAAAACAAACGGAAGTTATTGAAAGAAAATATCAAGTTATTAAATCAGGCGCTTCTGGTCATAACGTTCGTAGTGGACCAACTTTGGATTCGCCAAGCATTGGGGTTCTTGTTCTTGGAAGTATTATCGGGGTTAAAGATTACATGGTAAATAAAGACGGGTGTTGGGTTCTTCTTGATGAATCAACGAAGAAACGATATGGTTTTAACGGAGATTACGACGCCTGGTCTTTAGCTATTGGACATAATAATAAGTTATATCTTGGAAATGTAAATCAAATCGATAATGGTAAGATCAAAATAAGTATAATTCTTATTTTTTTATTTCTAATTTGTTTAGATGAGTTTTCACCACAACTTCCTCCGGAAACTGATTTATTAAAAATATTTACCAGCAAAGGTTACAATTTCAACCCCGCAATAACACCACATGACACCCAATTTTCTTTCACTCAATCTCCAATAGCTTCAACGGATTTACCAGCTTCCACAAATCCTTTTGTTTTTGGGGACGAACCGAGTAAACCGGAATCACCCAAAATCCCGCGGCGGGATCGAAAAGATAGTAAATTGATGGGGTTGCCGAAATGGTTCAAAGACGAAGCAAAGAGGTTTGTAATACAAAAAAATGATTGTTTTGATTGAGATATTTTTAATTTAATTTTTTAGTAGTGAAGGTTCCGAATTTAGTGGTGTTTCCGTGAAAGAATTAGTAAAAGCTATTGGCGAATCTCGAGCTAATGGAAATGGAGTAACTCCTCCAGATACACCCAAAAGGTCTTGTAGCCCTCGAGGGGGGCGATTTTCACCTAAACCAATGAGTAGGAGTTCAAGTCCAATTGCAGTTCCGGGTAAATTTATTTTTTTTTTAAATTTGATATTTTAATGTTTTCATTTTGATAGTGGGAAGGATTTTATTGCAAGATAGTGGAAGTGGAAGTCCACCCCATTTCGGTTCTCCACGAAGTATTGGAATATCACCTTTAGGTAGCCATAAAATAATCTTATAATTTTAAATAATAAATTATTTTTATTAGTTTCAGGGACTTGTCATGAATTATCAGTACGCAGAGGTTCAAATCAATCAGATACCAGCGCTTTAGTCAGTAGTATAACTCGAGATATTTCACAATCACCGAGTCAATCATCACATCCTCGAGATTTAACTCCAAGTCCTAGCAGTTCTAGTCACACCAGATCAGAAATAAGCCCTCCAAGGACGCCTAATAAAAGAGATACATCAAATCTCGAACAACCCCAATCTTCGCGAGTTCTCACACAAACGGGGACTCAAACATCCCCCGAAAATAATGCACTCACAGACGTTTCAGTTAAAGGGCACTTCTCAATAGGAACCGTACACAAAGAAGAACGACTCTCGCCAAAGTTAAATCGAAAAGATCGTTCCTCTTCAAAACCAAGATCGAAAAGAGCAATATCGCCAGCAAATGTTCCTTCGGTGTCCTCACCAAGAATAAATTACCCCACAAATCAACCATTAAAGAAATCTTTAAGTCCATCTTTAGCTGAGTCATTTAGGGCAATTTTTGCCGCATTCGTTTGGCACGAAGGAATCGTTCATGACGCGATGGCTTGTGCTTCTTATTTAAAATTCCATCCAACGTTACCCAAACAAGGAACGCGAGTTGTCACAAGACACGGGCATTCTGAATCTCCCGTAGATAAACGTCGCCAAGAGTTATCGAAAGAAGAAAAAGCGCGCCAAAGACACTCTGTAGAAGTTGCAAACGCCGGAAATTATCTCCACATCCAACCGTCCACATTAGAATCATTAACTCGATCAGCTGCCAACGCAAGTGCTAATAGATGCCGTAGAAGAGTTGATGGAGTATTTAAAGAAGATACATTAGAAGGGGGAGTTGGATATCAAACTGTTAAAGTTCTCCCACCTGCGTTGAAATGTTTGGTGTTTTTATGGGAACAAGTTACCTATAATTCATTACAAACTATGGCCGTTGCTAAAGATATCTACATTTCCTCATCGAATAATTGTGGTGGAAATGATGGACAAGCGAATAATCGAAGTGGTTCCAGCGGAACCGTTAAAAATGGCGAACAAAACATTCAAGATTTGGATCGCTGGAAATGGAATAACGAAGCTGGATGGAGAAAAAAATATAAATGTCGACCTGTAAATTGTGAACTTTGTGGTATTCGAGGTTATGACCCTATCACTAAGCATATGAAGCAAAATCATCCTGGTTGTGGTTTATCAGCTGGTGGGAACGGGTTTGGTCCAGATGGAGTGTTTTATAATGAAGGTTGGGCGGGAAGTTGTGGCTCAACTGGAGGTAAGTTTATTCGAAACAATAAATTATAAAAATGTTTTAATACAATAAAAAATGAATGTTTTAGTTGCTTCAATGGTACCAAAAGATTGGTACTTAATGTGCATCCGTTGCCGTAATAAATACCATTCATTAAGAACCCTTCCATCAACCTCAACTCAAAAATCAATCAAGCCAAAAGAAAAAGAGAAACCTCCACAACAACTTCCTGCTACAAATTGCGATTTAAAACCACACCTAATTATGCGTAATAACGCGTTATTCCTCCTAGACCTTGCGAGTGCTTCTGATACGAACGTTGGAACTCGTCAAAGAAGACCTTCATCAACAGTTATGCCAAGCGTTTCTGAACGTCATTCCCCACCGGATATCGGAGGAGGTCCGTTTAATCCCGTTCCTCCATTTCAATGTCTTCAAGCTCTCGGTGCGGATAATGAAATGCAAGAAAGACAATTCTACGAGGAAGTACTAAGGAGACAAGATGTTGTTGTTAGTGGGCAAAGACCGCTTTCAGAAGTTTCTTTATCTGACGAAACGGATAGTGCTAAAGGAACCAGGTTTCATAGGTCCATTTCTATGGGTACTAACGGAGTACCTTGGTCTAGAACTGGACTTGATGGAAGAGTTATTATGATGAGGAAAAGGAACAACACCACAACAGAAACAACAAGTGAATCAGAATCTTTGTTATTATGTAAACCATCTCCTGCATTATTAAAATTAATGCCCAATATGGATGGTTCCTCAATTGTGTCTAACGTAACTTCAGATTCGGAAACTCAAGAACAACAAAACGAACAACGCCCTGCGACTTATTATTTAATGGAACGACCCGTAATGGAATTTATTACTGTCCCACAAGATTTAGATTCGCTTCAATTAGCGATGAGACAAGCTTTAAGAAAAGCAATGTGTAGAGTTTACGCTATGCAAGCTTTAAACTGGTTGTTAAGATCCGTAACTCAACCGGTTTGTTTACACGATTTATTATGGTGGTTTGTTACTTCCTTACAACAACATCCCGTTATGGAATTGGAAGATAATGAAGAAAATAAACCACCGAAAAACAAAACGGACGAACAAATTTGTGACCATCCTTTATCGGATATAACAATAGCCGGTGAATCTGTTCACCCACTCCCAACCGCTTTTCACACTTTATTACAAACGATAGCAGATTTGATGGTTTTATTACCAATGGGTTCTGCATTACAACAAATGGCGATGCGATGTTGGGGTATCAAATTTACTCCGGCCGACCACACTTTCTTGCATCGCTCCCAAGTCTTTAGCAATATAAGTAAAATCTTATCGAGGAGTGAAGAAATTGATGATAACACAATTTCGATGCACGAAAGTTCGTTGAATCAAATTTTTCATTCCGTGGAGGCTTTGCAGGATTTAACGCAGTACTTGGATATTAAAGCGTCATCAAGACAAGCTATGGTCGTTAGTTTAATAGATGGATCGACGGAAACTTTTTGGGAATCTGGAGATGAGGATAGACATATGAACAAACATTTGGTTATCAGTTGTAGACAAGGACATCAACCTAAAATGGTTTGTGTTCATGTTGATAATGTAAGGGATTTAAATGTAAGTTATTGCTTTTCTTTGTTTTATGTAATTATTAGAGAAACACCTCTAGAATGCCATGGTTGTGGTTAGAACAAATTTATGTGTATTGTTAAGGTAACATTAATTTATTTTGCATATTACAAAACATGGCATAAAAAAATTGTTTCACTCGTTGATATTCTGCCAAAAACGAATTATTTTTAATAATATGAAAAGTCCTGTGTATTATCCCACATCTCTTTTACTCGCTGAATTATCTACATTATCCTCACTTTTATTACCCTTTATTTTGACCTGGTCATTACCATCATGATCATCTTCATGCTTTTCATCACCGTCATTTTCGTCATCATTGTTTACGCCTTCTACTTTCTTTGTTGAATGATTCATCTTCTGCTTTTGCTCCTTGTAGCTATTTTAACCATAGACTGGGATTTTTAATCGTAATTTTGATACAATCAATTTGTCATCTATCGATATACGGAGATAAATTATTTACACGTTCGTCTCAATGGATGGTTAACAGAGTATAAGCTAATAAAATATTAGCTTACAGTTTATAGTGATTATTGTTATGTATGAGATTAAGTGTTGATGCGCGTCCGTGGTATTTTCATTAGCAAATCGCAACATCACCTAAAATCAGTCCCTTTTCATTCAATATTAGTCAAGGTTATTGTCGCGGGTTTCCCAAAATATTTTTCGTCTAAACAAATACACTCGTTCATTAGATGTCTTATAAAAGTATTCTTCTCATTTAGAACTAGTTCCTACAGTTTTTTAACTGCTACTAGATATCAAAACCTGAAAAATTAACCCACATGTCTTATGTATTGCCGGTTTAGGAGCTAAAAGGCTATACAATATAATGTTAGACTCAGTATATTTAGTTACTCTAGTAATTTTTTTGGTTCTGCTTGATCAATTTCTGTCAAATTAGTTTGATTTTCAGCAGTTAACTGATTTGAACTGAAGTTGATGGGATTGTTGTAGTCTTCACCTTCGGAATTTGAATCTACATCACCACCATATTTATTTCGTAGAGTAATATAGATCGCATCGGGAATTATATCTTATAACTTGTTAGTCATACGTTATTTGCGTTGCATAAATAGGTACGAGGGTGTCGCCGGTTTGAAATAGGTCATTATAAAAAATTTACAATTTCCCTGGAAAACACTTGCTCTCTAATTGGTGATTTGCAGGAAATGTGATCATGTCAGGAACGATAAAAGGATTTTACTTGAGGTATTCTGAAATACTTAATTTGATGATCTTGTGTTTTAGTCCATTTAACCATATTTTACCAAAAGCCTGCGCGATATTCAGGAATAAACTCGTTGTGTTCATTTTATTTTCTTATTTTCTTATCTATCTTTTATTGAATCGACTAATCTCTAATTTATTGATGGCTTGTTGAGTGTCTTTGTTTGAAGCCGAACGGAAAGGGTGGTAAAACCTGATCATGTATCTTTTTAGTATTATATTAGTATTGTTTTTTCTAAAAGTTTGATTGATGATAAATTGCTTTTTGATCAACACGTTGATGAAGTTGTGGCTAGAGGTAATAGAATGCTGGGATTCGTAATGCGTTTATCCGAATCTTTTACTAACGCATTGCCTATAATTTTTATGTATCATGCCTTTGTAAATACTACTAGTATTTTATCTTTCGGACGCATTGTTTGGAATCCTCGCTTTGATATTAATTTTAATAGAATAGAGAAAACGGTTCAGATTAGGTTTGTTAAATACCTTTCCTATCAATTCCACCATACTTATACAAATTATTTGTCTGCCTGCCAAATGTATCATATGCCCACGCTTCAACACTGTAGATGTTGTAGTGATGTTTGCTTCCTGTTCACGTTAGTCACTGATTACTGCGACTCCCCATATCTTGTATCAAGAATTAACTTGCATGTTCCTCCTCGTCACAAACAGTTCGAACCAGTTCTTATAAGAATTCTCCAATCGTGCTGATGGAAGGAGCAGTAGACTGCCTTAGGTTGGACATACAGTTGTGTTCACGGGAAATGCGTACCGAAGGTTAAGAGCTGTTGTGAGATCCGGCATGTCGCTTACCTGCCCGGGACCGCCACAAGTCTCTTCTCCACGAGCTTCGTGTGCGCTCGGCTCAGCTCGTTTAGCCAGCGGCATGTTGGATCTCACAACAGCTCTTGACTTTCGGTACGCATTTCTCGTGATCACGACTGTACATACAGTGTGTTAATTAATTATTGTACCCGACAAAGTATGCAACCAATATCACAGATTGGTATTGCAACGCAACGAAAGTTCCTAAAAACGATGGCGACAATTCATTAACTTTAAAAGCCGTGTAAAATATATTTAGATTATATTTTAATAATTAAAAAAATATTATAAATATAAAAAAGTTTAACTTTCTGGCCTTTTATTTAAAATAATTTTTAGTGTACCCATTGATTGAAATTAATGTTAAAAGTAGTGTTTATTTTGATTTGTTTATTGACTTACCGCTTAAACCAACCGCTAAAAACGACGATAGTTCTAAACAGAACTGTTTCGAAAAATATAAAGGCAGCGAAAAACGGCTAAAGAACAAAGAAAATACGGAAACTCACAAAGCGTACAACAAACACAACAATAACGTACGATCAGCTGTCAACATCTAGTTACTAATTTAAAATTATCCAAGCTACCACCAAGGTACATAAACATAAGGTATGCTCATACGGCGAACGAATTGGCTCTCGTACGTCATCACAGCGTCATAGCTTAGCAGCAACTATTGTCTACTATTGTAAATGTAGGTTTGTTTACAATGGCTATGACGCGGTTATGACGTGCGAGAGCCAATTCGTACGCCGTATGAGCATACCTTATGTGTATCTACCTTGGCTACCACCAAGGTTTATATATTAAAGGTTGTCTAAGTTCCTATGCTGCAATACTTTGATTTTAGTTTGTGGGCGAGGGGCAAGAGCAGAAGTGTTTCGTGACGTAAGCGATCACTGATTTCGCACGCAACCTCATGGCCATGTGGTGCTCCATGCATTTGTTTAATTTGAATTGCTTGGCGGTATTATTTTCCACATGTGACGTAATGCGCAGTATGGTTGCGTACGAACCTAGACAACCTTTTATATATAAACCTTGGGCTACCACTACCTATTGAGATATGCAACCAATATTATACAGGTCACGTGGGTTAGGATAATTAATAACACAGTGTACTTGCTTTAATTTTGCGAGGTAGCTCCTAATGGGACTTGTCCTGTCACTAACTCCATGTATAAAAAGAAGTTTTAAGAAGGATACATAGCAAGCTGATTGGCTAAACCTTTCCAACTTTGATTTGTCTATCAGGTTTATAAAATAGGAAACTCACAAAGCGTACAACAAACACAACGATAACATACGATCAGCTGTCAACATCTGGTTATTAATCTAAAATTATCCAAGCTACCATTACATATTGAGATATGCAACCAATAATACACAGGTCACGTGGGTTACGATAATTAATTAACACAGTGCTTGCCTTTGATTTTGTGGGGTAGCTCCTAATGAGACTTGTCCTGTCACTAACTCCATATATAAAAAGAAGTTTTGAGAAAGGTGCATAGCATTCTGATTGGCTAAACCTTTCCAACTTTCATCTGTCTACCAGGTTTATTAAATAGTAAAATATGAGCATGTTTTATATTTCTCGAAAGTATCCGAGCTTTTAGCATGCATGGAACATTTTCGCTAAAAGAAGGCAAAGTGTTTAACTACCACCAGATGATAATCTGCGTTAAATTAAGCTAAAATACTTTGATGTATTGTTGTACTTGCTTAGTTAGATGTCTAAAATACCTGCTTGGTAATCGGATCTACATGGGTAGTATGTATAGTCGGTTGGAGCAGCAATTTGAAAATAATGAGTACTAAATAGATTAAGCAGTTTTTATCTGAAAGGTTTGAAGCTCTGCCTCCATGTTTCGTTCTTCGACTTTGAACAATTCTTATATGTCATTGGTTGTACTTTACGGAGGTATTTTCTGATGTCCCTGATAATATTTATCGACAAGCTTATGGTTTGCAAGCACTAAAGAACCAAGCACATTAGATTTCCTAATTTGGCAAGAGATATTTTTAATATAAGTAATAGTTAAGTAATATATATAATAATTTGGCACTCTAAAGGTTTTTTTATTTTGAATACTTTTTTTATAACAATTTTTATTTTAGTACAAAATAGGATCAATTTATTTCCATTCTGGCCAATCAGCCGAAGATTTTCATAAATTAAAAGCTGTTGATGTGGACATGAGTCTAGTTGGAAGTTGGATTACATGTTCTATTCCAGGTAAACTAACACTATAAGTATTAATTTCATAGTATTGATGCTTAACTAGGATTATATTTAAGATTAACTCACTTACTTACATTTATATTCTTTTTTGTAGTTTCTGATCATTCAGTAATAAAAATTGAATTAAAAGGCGTCGACAACACGGTTCGTTTAAGACAAATATGCGTCTTAGGCGAAATAGACAGCGAACCAATAAAAATTGGTAAACAATACAGCGCGACAACAATCCAACAAAGAAATTGTGAAGCAGAAACGCTCCGAGTTTTCCGATTGATAACTTCCCAAGTTTTCGGAAAATTAATTTTAGGCGATCAAGATCAAAATAATCCCGATTCTGGTTCAGTTTCAGCAAGCGAAAGTTTAGATCCTTTAGAAGAAAGTAATGATCTTCGAGAACATATGGTTGGAATTTTATTCAGTAGAAGTAAATTGACCCATTTACAAAAACAGGTTATCGTTCATATTGTGTACGCAATTAAAAAGGAGACGCTTAAAGCTAAAGAAGATTGGGAAATGATGCTGTGCAGTATCACCGGTGATTCTGCAAGTTCTGAACTTAGTCAAGATCCGACGAAAAGTTCGGATACTTATTGTTTTGAGATGTTATCGATGGTTTTGGCGTTATCCGGAAGTGCTGTTGGACGAACTTATTTATCTCAACAAGGGGGGTTGTTATCGGATTTACTGAGTTTACTTCACATTGGAAGTGCAAGGGTTCAAAGACAAGTTACTTCGCTTTTAAGAAGAATGTTACCTGAGATTCCACCAGAAGCTTTAGCCTCCGTTATGAACGTTGAAAGTTTACCTGTGAAAGATTTTAGTATTGTTTCAGCAGCTTCTAAAGATAATAGTCATTTCGACACGAATAAGTAAAAATTTTATTTAAAACAAAAGTACACATTTAAAGTTTTTAATTTTTAGGATCGGAATCTTAGATGTTTTCCTTAGTATAATAGCGAAATCATTAACTCTTCAAGTTAAATTAAAAAGTAAATTGAGTAAAACAACCGGGAAAGAAATCAACACTGTTAATATTTCTTCTTGTTTAAAAACGAAGGACGCTTTTGGTGCGAGGTGGTGGTTAAGAGGAAGCGTTAGCAAAAAGCTTTCAGAAGTAATAATTCATTTAATAAAAGATATGGCTTCGGTAAATTTTTTTTTGAGTTTAACCAAAAAATTTTTAAAACAAGTTATTTTTCTTTTTAGGGTAAGTTATCCGAAGCTTGGGCAAATGTAACGAAAGCGGCGATTGCTCAAAATATTTTAAATTTAACCCAACTTAGCGAAGAACAAAGAAATCCATCAATATGTCTTCAAACGCCAACGTTATGGATGGCGTTAGGCTCTTTATGCGTTTTGGAAAAGGATCACGTCGAACGATTATCTTCAGGACAATGGAGTCAAGCTGATGGACAACAGCAAGCACCTCCTGGTCCAACTTGTACCAATCATGATGATGGGGAAACTAACGCGGTCGTTCAATGTAGTATTTGTGGAAATTTATGTGCAGATTGTGATCGATTTTTACATTTACATCGTAAAACTAAACATCATCAACGACAAGTAAGTATCTAAAAAGGGTCTAATGGAAAAATAAATTGTATTGTAATGAATTGCAAAAATTGTTGCAAAAAGAGATGTTTTTTATTGCATTTTCACGTGCAACAATTAAAGATTTCAATTTCTCCATTTGAACTCATTCCTTTTACAAAGTTCAGGTGGCACAATAGATATGGTAAAGATATATTCTAAAACTAACCCAATCCAACCCAACGTTTTGTGCCGGATGATTGACATATCAAAAGAAAACTAACCTTACCCAATATTCTTTGCTGGGATGATTGTCATTTCAAAAGAAAACTAATCACAACAAAACGATACGTTTGCCTGGGTTTTGCTTGAAAAGAATTGAGGAACTTTTTAAGGAAAATATATTCCTTGTGGCTCCATTCAGTCAGGAGATGAAAAACTGTAGCGATCTTCAGGGAGAGATGTGTGTCAAAATAGTTCGAAATTATTGCAAGCATCTTCTTATTACTTAACAATAGGCAACAAAACAAAACACTTAAAGGAGATGTTTTTCAGAAAATTTAAAGTGATTAGAATATGAGAAAAATTGCCTGGTGTGAATCAACATGGTTCTAATCACTTAACAATAACTAGACGACAAAAGAATTAATTTGGTGTCATTTGAAAAATGTTTCAAAAATAATAGGAGGTAGAAAAAGCTTGTTGGTATGTGTCAAAATAGTTCAAAATGGTTGAAAATATATTCTTATTACTTGAAGAGGATGAAGATGTTATAATAGTTAAAGAGGATATTTTCCATAAAGTTCAAAGTATTGTGAATAAGGGAAAAGCTGACTGGTGTGAATCAAAATGGTTCTAATCACTTTAGCAATAAGTAGAGGACATACAGCTTGTACAAAAGAATGAATTCGGTGTCATTTGAAAATGTTTCAAAAATAACGCGGGACAGAAAAAGCTTGTTGGTATGTGTCAAAATAGTTCAAAATTGTTGGAAACATGTTCTTATTACATAAAGCTATTGGAATTATATTTTCCATAAAGCTCAAAGTATTGACACAATCAGTGCATACCACGTTATAAAATTATATCATCAATATGTCAGTGTCATAGTTTCAAATATAATAATTGATTTGAGAGGTTGCACTTAATCTCGTTGTGTCATCAACAAAGCAAACATTCGAAGCATTTGATTCAAGCATATAAGCAAGATGTCATGGTTTAAATTCAAGTCAGTGATCCCACCTAACCGTCCAATAACTTAAAGGAGTTGGCAGATTAACAGTATTTGTTAGCTATGGCAACTAGCGTTTGTAAGACAACAAAAATGTGAAACACTCTGTGGAAAATTAGGTAAATGAAAATTAATATGCAAGAGAGTCATTTGAAACTGAGTCATTTGTACTCATGATAGAAGCTTGATTGCCAGATAAAGATATATATTTTTTATAGTTTTCCATAATTTTTGAAAAAATTAGCTTATTTATTTATTCAATGTAAAGGTCATTGGGACACGTAAGGTTCTCAAATTTAGAAACCAAGGTGGAAATTGTGTTGACCAGGTCAGCTGAATGTGCGAAATTCGTTCGATATTATATTGTACGGCGATTGCCCAGGTTGATACCTGGTTGTCTATCTTCCCTAGGTTGTGAACCTCCTAAATGGAGAGTTTCAGTATGGTTTCAGCCAACCAACAAGTATCATAAATTTTACTTTCTCTTTTGTTTACAAGAACGGTGACATTGCATTTATTTTGATAACCGTCACTGAGGGTTTCATTGATATATTAGTCTTTGTTAGATTAACAATATATACCTGCTCGTCCATTTTCTGTTGAGGTTGGATATTAAGTTGTTGCAATTACGAAGACAGTATACATTGAACCTCAAATTAATTTACTGATCGCCATATATAAAATAGAGCTAGGTAAAACAGCACTAGTAATGTTGAAAATAAGTCATAGAATCATGGAAGAGGAAAAGCGTTTCGATATACTTTATGGGTGGATACAATGATTGCTCTAGCTTGTATTACAAATAACCTAAACAAGAAAAAATTGTAAAAGTTAATAGAATGGTAAAGGTGGGGCACAGACATACAAATTGAGAATTTTACCAAACTAATTCAAACTAACAGCTGCTTACAATAACAGCAGAGAAATAAAGCATACCCAATACAAACACGTAACCTGGCCAAAAACAAAAGAGCAGCAAAAAGACGTTGCCAACAGAACCCAACCGATGAAAATGCAAAATTCGCAAATTGAAAGGAATTAAGCAAATGGGCAAACAAACAGAAAGCTGACATCTTATCAAAATATGCAAGCGGAAAGGTTGCAGAAATCGTTATGCTATCCAAGTAAGGCATATGATTCCTACCAATAGTTTCCAAACTGTATTTGAAACGCTGGTGCTAAAACAAATTAAACCAATGATTCAACATTCCTGATCATCAGTTTGGCTTCAGATAGAAGCATACAACAAGATAGATACATAGATAAACAAGAGGACGTATGCAGAGTAAAAGGAAGTGCAAGCAGGAGTACCTCAGGGAAATGTCTTTGGGGGTCTTACTGTATGTGTTGTATACCTGTGATATATCCAACCTACACCATATAACATTGGCTACCTTCGCAGACGATATAATGGCACATATTAATTTTACAAACAAAAAACTAATTAACCTTCCTTTGTTATAAGTGTTTAAACTAGACACATTAAAAAGCGGTGCACTCTTTTGAGATGGGGCTTTCAAGGATAAAACAGCGGTTTCTAATTTTTGACGTGAAAGGTTTTCTGGTAGAGCAGTAATCTGAAGTTCGAACGTACGATATAGATCATCTCCTTGGTGATTAAAATAAGAGTTAACATTTTATATTAATAGCTCTTATTACGCATATTATTAAGTATTATTATTATTATTATTAAGTATTAAGCATATTTCTATATACAGGCTGTCTCGAAACTCAACGTCAAGCGGGCACTGGGCGAGAGGCCAATCCATACCTGTTCTGGTAAAAATGAGAAAAAAAAATCCATGTCTCTTAGTTATGTGATAAAGGACAAATTTTTGAAAATGTTAAAAATCGATCCCGTACATCATATCTTTAGGTACTACGGTCAGAAATGTCCGCAATTTAATAGTGATTTTTTTAATATTCTTTTAATTTTGGTCAAATGCTCAAATTATTTGCCGTCGGTATTAATACAAGCTCTGCATCGTCACAGAAAAGATTTTTATACTGGTTGTGCAAATCTCTTTGCATTTTCTGCTGCTGTATACATATTGTGGCGCAGTTCGGCAAGATTTTCAATCGGTTTTTAATACACTGTTTCTTTTATGCAATCCTAATAAGAAAATCAAGTGGATTTAGACCCAGAGAATGAGGAGGCCACGTAATCGAACCACGAAGCCCAACCCATCTTTCTGGGTATTCTGTATGCAATCCCGTGCAGGACAAGCATAATGAGCTGGGCAACCATCTTGTTGAAACCACATTTCTCTGTAGATATGGAGTGGCACATCTTCTAACAAAGTTGAAATCATTTTGGAGGAAATACAAATAACATACGAATGTATGAATTTTTTAAATAACGCGTTTTTTTGCAGAAAAACACGCAATAATATTTTTTATGAAAAGAAAGATGGCAAGTGTTACACCATTTTGGAATCTTGACTAAACAGACCATCTTTTAAAATAACTTGCCAAGGGTGTTGTACAACTCCTATGCTTAGAAATCGTGTGTGCAACTTAATTCTTTCAACCTTAACTCAATCAAACTAATACTTTTTTTTTGCAAAACTAACGACTTTTGTTGTTTGATTTGTGACTGCTATAGTAGCATGGTTCATGAGGAATACATTATTAAAAAAATCACTATTAAATTGCGAACATTTCTGACCGTAGTATCTAAAGATATGATGTACGGGAACGATTTTTAACATTTTCAAAAATATGTCTATTACCACTTAACTAAGAGACATAGACCTTTTTTCTTATTTTTACCAGAACAGGTAAGGGTTAGTGTCTCACCCGGTGCCCGCTTGACGTTGAGTTTCAGGACACGCTGTATATAAATATGTTTAAATTACTTCGTGATAGGTTTGTAAAGAAGAAGAGGAAGCTATAAAAGTCGATTTACACGAAGGTTGCGGTCGAATGAAACTGTTTTGGTTATTAGCATTAGCCGATGCAAGAACTTTAAAGGCTTTGGTTGAATATCGCGAGGGTGGACCAATACAACGTACTATTGGAACTAGTGGACAGTGCAGATTTTGTGGAGCAGTTGGTACTTCTGGTTTATTAGCAATTGGAAATGTTTGCGCAGATCAAGAATGTCAAGTAAGAAAAAAAATATTCCTCATACTCATTCTGAAGTTAATCCTAAGTACGAGCAACTAACTTTATTTCCTTTTTTTTTAGGATTATGCTTTATCAGCTTGCCAAAAACTTCTTACATGTGGTCACATGTGTGGAGGCGTTCAAGGTGAAGCAGTTTGTTTACCATGTTTGCACGGATGTTCTTCAGACCCCTCTTTAAGACAAGATGCTGATGATATGTGTATGATTTGTTTTACGGAAGCTTTATCGTGCGCACCAGCCATTCAAGTGAGTCATCCCCACATTACTAGTATATTATCATCTTATTCACATTCCCTTTTTTTTCAGTTACAATGTGGTCACGTATTCCATCTTCATTGTTGCACAACGGTCCTAATAAAACGTTGGGTTGGACCGAGAATAACATTTTCATTCTCACTTTGTCCAATTTGCAAAGTAGCCATCGAACATCCGGGTTTAAAAGATCTCCTCTTACCAACTCAAAACCTTTTTAAAGACGTCAAACGCAAAGCACTCATGCGATTAGAATATGAAGGTTTGCATACTTCTGAACCAATTTTAACCCCGGGAGCGCGGTTTTTTAATGATCCATCTGGTTACGCAATGGATCGTTATGCGTATTATGTATGTTTTAAGTGTAATAAAGCTTATTACGGGGGCGAAGCTCGCTGCGATGCTGAAATTGGTGAAAATTACGACCCCGCTGAATTGGTTTGCGGGGCGTGTTCGGATGTAACGCGAGCTTGCGTTTGTCCGAAACATGGAACTGATTTTTTGGAATATAAATGTAGGTATTGTTGTTCGGTGGCGGTATTTTTTTGTTTCGGAACGACGCATTTCTGTAATCCTTGCCATGATGATTTTCAACGCGTCACTACATTACCGAAACATCAACTTCCGGTTTGCCCTGCTGGTCCCAGGGCGAAACAACTTGAAGGAGATGAATGTCCGCTTCATGTTCAACATCCACCGACGGGTGAAGAATTTGCTTTAGGATGTGGTGTTTGTAGAAATGCTCATACGTTTTAGAAACACTAAATGATATTGTTGTTTTTTTTTTTGGGTAAATCATAATCACTATCAATAATAAATGTATTATTGTTAGATTAGAATGGTAATCACCCGCTGTGATTTTAGTTCTTTTTTGTGCCATATGTCTTTAACCTAATCAAATATAAACTTAAAATAAACACGTTGTTTTTTTTTATATTTTTGTTTAAATTACAAGTAAATATACAAACTAGTTTATAAAAAAGAGAAAGTAATTATTTGAAGAAAAATAGAGTAAAAAAATTTCCCGCCCAAATAATTATACCTCCTGATACTGGTAATAATTGGGTTAAATCTTTTTATGGATTTAGTCTTTATGGCCCATTACTAAGGTTTTATGTATAAAAATTATTTCCCCATCGCTTTTAGTTTTTGAGTTATAATTGAGTTAATTTTCGAAAATCAACAATAATGATGTTTAATCGATTTAGAGCTTATAAATAAAAAATAGTAATAATTGGGTTCAATCTTGTTATGGATTTAGTCTTTATGGCCCATTACTAAGGTTTTATGTATAAAAAGTATTTCCCCATCGCTTTTAGTTTTTGAGTTATAATTGAGTTAATTTTCGAAAATCAACAATTTTGATGTTTAATCGATTTAGAGCTTATAAATAAAAAATGGTAATAATTGGGTTCAATCTTGTTATGGATCTAGTCTTTATGGCCCATTACTAAGGTTTTATGTATAAAAAGTATTTCCCCATCGCTTTTAGTTTTTGAGTTATGATTGAGTTAATTTTCGAAAATCCACAATTTTGATGTTTAATCGATTTAGAGCTTATAAATAAAAAATGGTAATAATTGGGTTCAATCTTTTTATGGATCTAGTCTTTATCGTCCATTACTAAGGTTTTATGTATAAAAAGTTTTTCTCCATCGCTTTTAGTTTTTGAGTTATGATTGAGTTAACTTTCGAAAATCAACAATTTTGATGTTTAATCGATTTAGAGCAGTGGCGTCCTAATTTTTGATCAAAATTTTTTTAAACTTTTTATATAAATGTCTTGCCAAGATCGACCGAAGGGTTTAAAGTAACAACTATTTTTTTTTTTGCTCTGAGGCCCAGATATAGATATTTCAGATTCATGATTTTCTTGGCGATCGACTCAAAACTGCTTTGCGATCGACGTTATGGACACCACTTGTTTTGTGGATAAATCATAATCACCAATAATAACAAATGTTTTATTGTTACATTAGAATAGAAAATAAAGACGTTCTTTTTTGTTTAAATATTTTTATTTAAATAACAAGTAAATATACAAACCAGTCTATAAAAAAGAGAAAGTAATTATTTGGAAAAAATATAGTCAAAATATGCGATAATAAATAAGGATGAACATATTATTTACAAATAACACACTATTTACAAATCATATTCAATTATCAGTCGTTTTTTACAACACCGTTGCTTCCTCGAAATAAGATTTATTATCTTTTCGATGACAAACATGACCAGCTTCATCAGATCCAATGATGTATGGACCATTCCTAAACGTTCCATATCCTTCAGATTGACCACCATCGTCGTTTCTATTTCCCGATGAAGATCTTTGAGCAGTGTTATTAATCGGATTCGGTTCTAAAACGTCTACCAAAGAAGTAATTCTAGACGGTTTTGATTCCCCGAAATTTTTTAAATTCATCAAACTCAAATTGTTTTGATTTTGATCGCTTTTTCGGAACGCTATTGAATCGGTATTCATCGATGAATCACTGGTGTTGGTAACATATTTCTTAACATCGTATTTAGAACGATTTTTAACTGAATGTGTGTAATCTCTAGTTCCCCTTCGGCGCAACGTGAAGTCTCTTTCGCCGTCTTTTGCTTTACTATGCCACTGCACGTAATTATACAACATTATCGGATCAGTTGGGCCCCATTTCGTTGAAAATTTAAAAGACGCTTTGAATTTCTATTAAAAAAAAATAAGATCGTTGGCGATAACTTTTTTATTCGATTAAAACTTACATCTAAATTAGAATAATATTCATCTTGTCTTGATGCGTGGAAAATTCCTATTGCAATTATAAAAATGATTGAAAGTAAAACAATTGACCATCCCGTTGCGTATAACCAAATCGGATCAATCAAAGTTTCTCCGTTTAATAAAGTATAACCGTTTAAGTTTAAAGTGGATAAACTCCAAATTAAAATTCCGAGTAGCAAAAATGGACAAATCCACCATAAACCGATAAAAAAGTTTGGGATTTTATTTCCAACGATGAATTCAAAATCTGATTGTAATCGTTGACATCCTAAAAAAATAAAACTAATTAAACTAGAACTAACAAGAGAACTAGCAACATTCGGGTTTAGCCTTACGTCTTTTAAGACGGTTAAACCTGAATGTTTCTAAACCACTTTAAGTTCAAATTGCTGCTTCCTTTTTCCTTAGTATTATAAAGCATTTTTGTTTAACGCCATTTTGAGTTTAATTAGTGCCAATTTGAACTTTAAAAAGTATAGTTCTTGGTCTTGCGTTAGTTCTATTGCTAGTGTTAGTTCTAGTTTTAGTTGCTATTCGGCGCTAAGTTGTTGTATATTTCTATTGAACTAACACTAGACCTAGAACTAGAAACATTCGGGTTTAGCCGTCTTAAGAGACGAATGGCTAAACCCGAATGTTTCTAGTTCTAGGTCTAGTGTTAGTTCCAGTGACAATACTAGGCAGTGCTAGTTAGCACTAGATATCGCTATGTTGTATATTTTGATTGAAATAAAACTTGACCAAACACTAGACGTAAAAACTAGAAACAATAGGGTTTAAACGAAACTTTCTAGTTCTAGTGTTAGTTCTAGTTTTAATTGTTATTCAGCGCTAAATTGTTGTATATTTTTATTGAACTAGAACAAACACTAGAACTAGAAACATTCAAATTTGGCCGTCCTAAGAGATGCATGGCTAAACCTGTATGTTTCTAGCTTTAGATTTAGTGTTAGTTCTAGTTTTAGTTTAATTATTATCAGCCTTGAAAGTCTTCGCACTTATAAAACCAAAAATACATAAACATAAACATTTCTGTAATAAAATAACTCACCATAAAAAGACATCATTGAGAGTATATCAATAACCACAATAATAAGAATTAAATTTCCAATAATGTAATGATCAAAAAGATGAAGTATGTTTAATTGTGGACTTAACAGGATTAAACAGCACAAAATAAAACCAATTAGGCCAGAGATTAAAGTAACGGTTAACCAACGTTTTCTTGTTTCTAAAGAGATCGCTTTGTAAATCGTGTAGAGTAAAGCGGTCTAAAAATAATAATTTAATAATAATTATTTCTTAAGGAGATTTATGATCTTACCACACTAATTAATCCAGAAAATGCAATAAGAAAATAGGCTATTAAAGACCAAGCCATTTCAGTATCGCTATTTTGTGTTTTGTTGTAAATTAAAGTAAGTAAATGGATTTGAATTATATCACTACTCTTTATTTCTTGATTTATATTGTAAGCGTAGATGAGAAGAACGACGGCAACTCCAATTATCATGTTAATTAAGATATATCCAAAAGCGGTCCTTAAAAAATTAAAAAAAAAAATTAAATTAAATTAATTTAAATAAAATTAATCTTACCAAATTGGATTAACTTTCTTTAAAATAATCCCTGCATTCGTTACAAAAACCCCAAATCCGATATTTGTTGATAAAAAAACTTGAATTGCTGCATGATACCATACCTAAACGTTAAATTATAATTTATTAATTTAAAAAAGATATTTTGCAATTATTTACATCCGCATTTGTTAATACACTCCAATCAATGTTAGTTCCAAAGTCGATAATTCCGGGAACTGCTTCAAATTGGGCTGCTTTAACCACCAAAGCGATTAAACACCCAAACGTCAGTAAAAGATATATTTGTAATGATATCGCATAAGATCTTGTTCGTTTCAATAACCAAATTGTTGTTATTAAGAAGAGGCAAAATAAAATAGCTACGAAAATTCCGTACCATTTAGGATCATCGAAAGGATTTTTTAAAAACGTTTTATCTCTAAAAATAAAGCACATTTTTGTTTGTTTAAAATTATTGTTGTTTTGGCTTACTTTATACATTCTTGTCCTGATATTCCTATAGTTTCGTATCCATCCTGTAATAAAATAAATACAAATAAATAAAAACAAATATGATCATTTTATGTGACTTAAAATTAGTTAATATCTAACTTTAAGAAAAGGGGATTCAATAATTTGTAAATTCGTGCTATTTTTGTTAGCTTTACATTAACTGCTTTAATTGGACGATTTAAATCCAATCAATTTAAAGCTGTAATATGTAAATTAAACACTTCTACAGTAAACATGTTAATATCTATATTGGTTTGACTTGACACTTTTAAAGGTTAACAAGTTTTTCTTGTGAATAGTAAAGTTTCCAATACTTTTTTGCTCAATTTAAAAATAATCTGATGTTCAGTACAATTTGAACGCTTATAATGCATTGCGCACACAAAATTGTGCAATGAGTGTTTTTAGGTTGTTCTCATTATTGTGGTTCTTAAAGAAAATGGTATTTGTTATATTATTATATGAAATAATATGGCTGTTTTGAAAACTCGTTATCTTAAGAGGAGTTGACTATTTTGAAACATATAAAAAGAATAATCACTGATATTTCCAACATTTCTAACATTAATGGAGGCTCAAGATATAATTTTGAGGAAGGTTTTGGCGAGACACGTTAAGACATCACATTAAAAAAGTTAAAGTTTCAAATCGATGTTTTCAGTTTAAAGTTCTTGGGTCACATACAGTGAATTTCACTTAAAATGCAATACATAAAAATATATTTCCATAGAAACCAGGACGGTAGGTACGCCCTTACTTTATTCCACATAAAATGCCCCATGTCTGAATGTTTCTTGTTCTAGGTCTAAGGTTAGTTCTAGAATAGTGGTAGGTAACGTTAGTTAACATAAAATATCACTATGTTGCATATTTTTATTGAACTAAAACTAGAACTAACACAAGACCTAAAACTGGAAAGTTTCTAGCTCTAGGTCTTGTGTTAGTTCTAGTTTTAGTGCTAGTGTAAAATTCATTCGGGTTTAGTCGTTTTGAGAGCTGTGCAGCTACACCCGAAAGTTTCTAGTTCTCGGTCTAGTGTTAGTTCTAGTTTTACACTAGCACTATCACTAGAACTAACACAAGATCTAGAACTAGAATCATTTGGGTTTAGCACGTCTCTCAAGACGGATGTTTCTAGTTCTAAATCTACTGTTAGTTCTAGTTTTAATTGTTATACAACGTTAGATTGTGGTATATTTTTATTGAACCAAAAGTAGAACTAACACTAGACCTAGAACCAGAAATATTCGGATTTAGCCGTGCGTTTGTTAAGACGGCCGAAAACTCAGGGTTATAATAAAGACATCAGTTCTATTTGCACGCCAGTAAAGTTTAAACTACATTTACGAAAACAAAAATAAGTGACACGCCAGTTTCATTTTTAAAGTGTATTGCACAGTGCGCAATATGTCGAGTAAACTTTCTGAAGCATAAAAAGCAAGCTATAAAAATCATTTACGAATGACAAAGCAAAATTATGATATTCTTCTGGATTGTGTTCTGATGTACATCCCAGAAAACGGATAAGATTCATAGCCTTCAAGAAATTTGATTGTCAGTTCTGCCGACCACTTTTTAGCTATAATAAACTATATAAACTACATTAAACACAAGTTAAGACCTCAACCGAAACGAAAATCTAACTAAAAACTGGCGAGCCGAAGTGCAAGCATTTGTTTACACACGCAAATTTTGTTTTGCTGCACGTATTTGTCATCACTGGCACCAGTGATCTCAGAAGGGTGCAGACTTTTCCGATCCATGCATACATGATTTCAACTTGCATGCCAGTTGATGTTTACACATGCAATTTAATTTTACTAGCGGGCAAGTTTTTATTGGCGCCACTAAATCCATGCATGTCTAAACTCATCTTTAAGCTATGTTTCCACATGCACGAATTACTGATATCATTTGGTACTGGTTTCAACTGGCGTTCATTTGCATGTGGAAATAACAAAAAAACACTGGCGCCAATAAATTGGTGCCTGTAATCATAGCGCCAATAAAGTTGACGCTACTTCTACTTTTTGGCGCCAGTAACAGTATTTATAAAGAAAACGTGTAACTATTAACGTGTTCGTCCAACTAAACTGAACAAATCCGCTAATAAACCGTCTAAAAAATGAACTTCAGAACGAACAGTACAATTTCTAGAAACGTATGAACAATATCCTTGTTTGTGGAATCAGAAAATTCCACAATATAAGGACAGACTAGCACGAAATGAAGCTGTCAGAAGGATAGTTAAAATTATGAAGAAAACACTTCCTAATTTTGACGAAACCTCGGCAAAAACAAAAATACGAAGTATACGCAATGCGTATACAATTGAATACCAAAAAGTACTTCACCATAAAGCACTTCACATATAAATTTAGAAATTGTGGTTTTTGGCAAACGATACATATATTGCAAGGATGTAGAAGAATCTCTAGAAACCAAGAATCTTAAAGCTGCTTGCAGTTTTACGTGAGCTGGAAAGGCATCTCTCATATGCGTATGTTGTTTTTGTATTTTAGAGGATACTTGCCCCGACAAAAACATGAAACTCTCTTCAGTCATTCTTAAATGATTAAAAAATGTATGCTGATCTTCATGGCATAATTCTCTAATTAAAGTACTAGACGCACCTAGGTTATTTCTACGTGCAATCCACGATCTAACCCAGCAACTATGTTTTCGCTTTTTTTTGTTAATAACGTGTGCAGTTCCAAGGAGCACATTTGGACTACCATATTGATGCCAGCGCGAAGTACAGCACTTGACGCCATTTTTATTACTGTCAATTTACTCTGGCAGTACATAATTATGACATTTATGTGGAAACAACTTCTGGCGCCAGCTAATTGGTGCCACTAAACTGGCGTCGTACTGGCGCCAGTAATCCGTGCATGTGGAAACTTAGCTTTATATGAAATTCCCGGTAGTTATACAGTACTTCCCAAAAGTAACGGACGTTAAGCATTTGATTAAAGAATATAAGAATACCAGAAATGTTATGAATTTCAAGCAGATAGGAGTGAGACCTAGGATTACTGCGGTGCTTGATTTTTATCTATATTGGAACAATTATGTTGATTATGTAATCAAAGAGACAAACATATATTAGTTACAATCATTTATAAAGTTGTGGAACCCCTATTCAAACTAAAATAAAGCTTTTGTATTTTCTCCTCCTAGTTGAAAAATAAGATATAAGAACATTGGAAGACGAGTACGTCCTATCTATTTGATAGGTCTATTTGATGAAACATCAGCCAACATGCGTTCTACCTCCTTCGCAATGGCGGTTTTCTTATCCAGAAAGCATCGGTGTGATGGAACCTTGATGAATTTAACATTTAGTTGTTAAGGCGGTGTTAGTCTTGTCAATGACTTTCCTCTCCTATCATATTTGATGGAAACTTCGCACAAGCTTCTCAAACCCCTGCGATATTCAGTTTGAAAGCCGTAACGTAATGACTGAGGTTTCAACATTTCAACAGCTTCGCTGGCTTCAACTGCGATAGGTTTTATTTGTTCTTACTTGAAAAGTCTTTTAAAAAATTTGACAGTAATTTGAGTAACTCAGGTGGAACGTTTAATTTGTGTAGTTTGTAAAACGCTTTTTGTTTGTCTAGAAAAAGAACTGCTGATTTTATTTGCTGCTAGCGACAAGTGTGTAGATTTGAAGTAAGAATAGCTAGTGGATTTATAGTCGATTTTCCTGATTTAAATCCAAACTGATGTCGTGGAATCTCATCTTCAACATACATTAGCAGTCGGTTTTTAATAAGATTTTCAAACATTTTCCCGATGTCAGGAAGCAACGTTATAGGACGATAACCAGAAGGAGTTTGCATACTACTGACCCAGTTTTCCATTCATTAAGAAAGTAGTGATTTTAGAAACAAAAGTTGAATATGTCTTTTACATGTCCATGAATGTTAGGATGTAATTGTCTAAAAATTGTTCGTGTCAGTTTATCATAGCCGGCCGAAGTATTTTTTCCCTTGCTTAACAATTCCTAGTATTTATCTTCGGCAACATTCAATCTGTTACTAGAAATTTGTGCAGTGTTGTCAAACGCTGTAAACCAGTCTTCAATCTGATCGTGATGGTCGTTATCGAATAAGTGATTTTCAGATTTTTTAAAACATTCTTCGAGATATTTAGCATGTATTTGTGCCTTTTCGAAATCAGTGTTACAGCTGGTGCCATCAGATGCATCTATAAAATAAACAGGCTGGATGTTTTTTTTTGTATTTTGATAGTTTTTTGACTTCGTTCCAGAAGGATTTTCCCTTACTTTGGTTGATATTATTACAAGCTTCAATAAATCTAGAAGATCTGAATTCCCATATTAACTTGTGAATACTTTTACTAAGCTCATCAATTCTTTTCTTGGTGTCAGCATCTTCATTTCTGCTGAACTCTCGGTACATGCATCTTTTACGTTTAATTAATGTTAGGATATAAGGAGGGAATGGGAAGAAGTAATAGGACTTTTCCCTTTTTGGGGAGTGATATACTAGTGATTTCGTTAGGTGTTTGATAAACGATGATATGTTCTCTGGGTTAATAGCAGGATTGTTATGGATGTAATTAGTCATGTCATTGTTTAGGTTTTCAATATTGCATAAATTAATGTTAATGTGTAGCGGAATGTCTACTATTGAGGAGTATGGTAGGGTGTTTAGTTGAAAATCTATGCTGAGGTGGTCTGAACCAAGATCTGTTATTAATTCTAGAGCATGGATGAGCGGATATATGCTTGGTGAGCCTATTACTAAGTCAGGCGTGGTGTTGGTATTGGCCTGCATGATAAATGTAGGTGGTGTAGCTATTTTCTTGTATCCAGTCTGATTGAGGAAGTTTGTTAGATGTTTGTTTTTCGACTTATTTATATTAAAATCTTCGTTTATTATGGCGTTATCGTATAGTGAAGCTTTTATAAAGTTGTCCGTTGATTATCAAAGAATATTCATGTAAATGTGATTAGGTAATCATAACATTTTAATGAGAATGTTATAGCAAATTGATATTCCTCACAATCTTGCAGCGTATTTGGTTCTTCTGGTAGGTGATGTAACTTGTCTATTTTGTGTATGATTTTCCGCAGATCACTTCTAGAGTTCTCCCAGGGAGCCATATGAGCCCCATTCTCAGTATACATGAATGCCTAAAAATGTCTGAATATGACAATTGACATGGTAAGGTAATTTATATGGATTGATACGGTAAAAAAAATTATATGGTAACTTTTTTTTATGCTAACGATTGGAAATTTCTTTTAGTAGTAACAACACCACCTTCTTCAAATATGATAAGTTATTAAAATCATTTCCTCGTGCATTCGAGTTATAAGTTTTCACATCCAAGGCTTTGAAGAGGTTGGGTTTCGTAATTAAGATCTGCTGATCAATCACGAATTAGGCATTCGTAGTGCTCTTCTTGCATTAATCCTATCTAATCTGTTCAACGCTGTTTTTAGTGGTACTTCGTCCATAAAATGTTCTTTACGTCTCCACATATTCTCTATTTCGATTATAGATTGTGATACAACGTGTTACCTTTTTAGACATTTGAGATACTATCTGCTTTTTATCTTTTAACTAACCAACAATTTCATCGATTCTCCTGAGTTGGTATGTAAATTATGTTTTTACGTACCTCTATATCTAACTAGAGTGACTTGAAGTAATCTCTTTAATGCTTTATTGCAAATAAATAAATAAATACATTTCAAGTAAAGTGTATTATATATAAAACACGCCGTATTTATTATTCAATTCTAAAAAGTTCATCCTCATCCTTGAAATATAAAAAAAATAAACACGTTCAATTACATACACAAACAAGGAAAATGGTAATTACTTCCGTAACAATTCCAAATCAAGTTTATTAATTTCCTGGAAGTTAACACAACACCAAATTTGAAAGTCATAACCAAAATTAAATGTAAATAAAATTCTGAAAATAAATATTTAAAAATGCATTATTTTTTTTTTAAATAAATAAGTGTTAATGACTACCTAAGAATAGCTACCGGTTTTGGGTTTTACCCTTCATCACGTAAATAACTATTATCAGCAAATATGAAGTAAGATTATATTATTACAGCTATCTTTACATTACAGTACGGAAACATGACGCAACACTTTAACTTATCCTCTTACAGGCAAGAGTTAAAGTAATAACCGGAGTTAAATTGGTTTCGTCAAACATTTTTTTAACCACTTGAAAACATAGCGAAAACAGCTCTACATAGTTGTCATTTAATAACATTTAAGAGCAAAATTTGTTTTGTAACCACCTAAAATTACATAAACCTCGTTCGACATCTCCATTCTCCTTTTCTCTATTACGCTCCATTTGCAGTTAAAAAATAACACATACACGTATACCTGACATAGTATTTAGTATTAATCACCACCGTTGCTCAAAATTAGTTACGTTAAAAATACCATCCGAAAAGAGTTCCAACGTTTTTGGATTCTTATTTTCGATTCTTCGCCACTCAGTCGTAAATTTTGATGTTCTACAAAGTTCAACGCTCCAACTCTTACGATTTTTTTTTATTCAACCATTTTCCTTTCAAAAATAACTTTTTAGCTATGCTCGTCTCGAATAATTAAGTCACCAACAGCACACAAACAGATAAGTTGAGCGGAAAGTGTCGCTTCCGGTCTCTATAGCATGAAGAGCAATTCGGTCGAGCGGCAATCGACTAGATTACCCGGTGATTTTAATATGTACGACCTTTGAAGGTCTAATTACCAACGCACGCGACCAACCGTAAACGGTGAGAGGTCTCTCGTTCGATTTACAATTATGGTGTATACAGGTGGAGTGTGTTTACGCCAGAGAAATCACGTTTCACGTGGTGTTATTTAATATCATTTAAGGTTTTACTCTTTCTTTACTTTTTTAGGTTAAGTGATTGTAATTTTTCTTTTCTGTTTTATTTAATGGATATTCCAAATTTAAATTTGATTTTATGCTTGGTTATACTTAACATAATATTCATAAATATTCCTAAAAATAATCTTTTTCTATTAAATTCAAACTCATTCATTCAAATTCAATAAAATTATTTTAGGTTGGCAATAATAGTTTTTGACATTTTTAAATGTCATAAATGTCATGAACAAACGTCGAAAAATCCATAATTTGATGTAATGAAAATCATATCTGATTGGCATAGTAGTTTTCCGGTTTAATCCATGTTTTTCAGTAAGTAGATACCGTTAGAGAGATTTCAATGTCAAAATGGGTCAAAAAATAAACACTACTGAGACGCCTTTGGAAAATTTTGGACTCGAGGGCAGAAACTATCGCGGTGAAACCCTGCTAAATTTACTAGCATGGAATCTTCTTACTAACGTGGCTAGTAATAGGAAGCTTTAACATTGATAGTATTAAATTGTGTGATAAATTTTCTAAGAATTTATAAATTTTATATGGTGTTTAAAATTTACCTTATCATCCATTCGTAAAACTCGGCATTCTTTAAACGGTGGAGCTCCTTGAGTGTACCATACAATATAATACACGGACAATCCCGTATAAATAAAATACGATAAAGTTAAAAGACATCCAATCATTACTTTAATATAGGCCACACCTGCAAAGAATAAAAATAACAACAAAATCAATTAAACGATATAAAAAAAGATAAAGAAAGAAATTACTTATTATCTAAGATTATTATCCTTTATGTATCTACATTAAGTTTTAACAGTTATTTTAAACGATCGTAATCAGAGTGTATCGAATAATATCCTGGTGTTCTAAATTGGATTTATAAAAAGGTAAAACAAAAATAAATCTAATTTTATCTCTAATTAAACGAAATAAAATAACTTTACTCACCCCTAAAAAATGGTACAGCCCTCCAGGTCTTCGTGAAGCCCTCCTGAACGATCTGACCCAATCCAATTTCGAGTGTGAGTAAAGGAAGCCCTACGAGGACTGCAAGGATGAGGTAAGCTATGAGGAAGGGCAATCCGCCGTTTAAAAGGACACCTTGGGGTAAATAGAAGATATTTCCTAAGCCGCACGCCAATGATATTATACATAAACCCGTTTCGATGTATCCTAAACATGTTGTGCATTTCTGAAAAAGACGAGAAAGAGGTTTTAATTAGTTTAATTAATTTAAATCAACGATGATGATTAAATCTTACTAAATAAGCATTTCATCGAAATAATTTTGCCTTTCAATGTTCAAGGTCTAAATAAAAATTTCGAATCAACACTTAAAAATGTTGCAACTTCATTTTTACGTAAAACGTGGCAATTAAAAGGTTTTAAAACATCCTCATTTCCTTTGGTAAGTTTCGAAAAAGTCAAACCGTAAAGAGATACGCGATGATAACATATAAAGTTTATAAAAAACAATTTGTAACCAATTATTTGTAAACTTTAATTATGTACGTTATTAACGTAATATGATATTTTATAATTAAATGATTATAGTGTTTCCGTATTTGAAATACCCGGAAAAGAATCATCGGTTATTTTGCGAAAAAAAGAGATGAATAGCGCACGTTCTCGCTTCAAGGTTTTCTCATTCAATTGTAAAGGAATGGGTGATTATTAGCAGCAGGTAGATTTTTCTTCTTCATGTTTTTTTCGCAGTGAATTACTTCATCACCACAGGACTATGACGTAACGTAAATAAACGTAAATAGACGTGGAAAAGGATATAACGGAGTTTCCGGAGTCTATCATGATGTGTTTGGAATTTATAATAACTCATGCTATACTTACAATTAATTACTTATAATTTAATTAAAATTTTAAATGATATCTTTTGATTTATCTTTATCTCTATCTTAAATATACTTGTGGAGGCTCGGTACGTATCAAGTAGACGAATTGAGCTGGTGTTGAGAAAGTTAAGCAAATTCCCAAGTTAAGTATACATTACCCACTCGGGATTTACTTGTGTCTACGCGACTAGTTAAGTGTCACTATCAAGTTAATTTGTAAACATTAAAACGACATTTCCGGTTATCAATTTGATACTTTATCTTTATTAATGTAGATACTCAAAAATAAATATAAGATTGGCAACTCTCACTGAGTTAATCAACCACATTTTAGATGCTTAAGAATGGATACAATCAGAAATCATATATCATCATAGAATACAAGGTGCATTCAACTGGCGTGTATAGCTTTTGGCAAACTGAGACACATTCTAAGAAACGATACGATTCCTATAAATCTGAAGCCAAAGGTGTATAATACGTGTATCTTGCCTGTACAAATATACAGACTGGAAACAACCAGTCTAAAAAAAGCATGTCTTGACAACTCAAAGAGCTGTGGAGGGATGCATCACTACGCGTTATAATAAGAAACGAAAACATCAAGAGACAAACAAAGGTTATTGATATAACTCAACAAGTGGTTAAAATGAAATGGCAATGGACTGGGCATGTGGCCAGGCTGGCTAGTGACAGGTGGGCATATAGAGTTACAGTGTGGAGGCCTAGAAAACCTAAACAAAAAGAAGTAGGAGGTAGACGATGGTTGATTGCAACACAAAACAGGGAGACATGAAAGAGGATGACAGAGACCTATCTTCAGAATCACAGAGATCACTGGTTCATGAAGAAGATTAAGACGAACATCCAAATTTGGCGAAGGTTGAGTTGGATTACCAAACCTAAGCCAACAAACGTTTCACCAACATCAGTAACTTTTGAGCTGGAATTGTATCAGTTACTTTCATTCTCGTGGGGGCTAAAATATTAAATGAACTTCTTCACTTGCTTACATTCACACATTCGTAAATTCTCTGTTTAATAAATATCAACCCAACCCTAAATTATTTTATTCAACTCTTCATTTTTATAATGATTCCAAAACCCAAGCGAAGTGGAATCATATCGACCCATTTTATTATTGCCAATTATATCACAGTTATTTGAGAAATAGATACTTTAAATCGGATACCATCTCATCTATTTGGTTTTAGAAATAATTACTCGACCAAATACATAGAATTACTGATGTCATTGAAATACACTCAAAAACAAAAGACTTTTGGCAGAGTATAGCACAAAGATCTGCTTCCTGTTCATTTTTGCCAACTTTTAAAATCTTACTTATCTAACATGAAGATTCTTTCTCAGTATAGAAGCTGATTAAGGTTGGAGAACCCCAGTTCCCTCCAGACTCCAGTCTTGTATCTGATTTCTATTTATGATGTTCTAACAAAATTGTACAGCACAACAGACACTTTCGCTGATGACCCTGGGTAGTATCAGTCAATAGGAGTTGGCCATTGAAAGCCCAAACAGAAAAGTGCAATTTACTCTTAAATCTTAAAATTTCCATGTGGACAAAGAAGTGGTGTATTAAACGAATCGAAATTAACACATATTGACTTCACAAATAAGATAATTGCAGAACAACCAATCTACACTAATGCAAGATAAATTCAAAAAAGTGTATTGTTGATTGGTCGCAATTCTAAGCCATCACATTAAGCTTACATTATATAAGCAAATACTACATCCAGTATGAAGCTATGGAATGCAGCTTGGTACGTCCGTAATTGCAATTTACATCTTGACCTAGAGATCGATCATTATTCCAAATTACTCGATCATGTGCATTATTATGTCCAAACTCTCTAAAAGCATTCTGTCTAACACTTATTCACGTCCTCTATATTTCAAATTCAATATTCCTTCTCTCTCTTATTCTATCAACCTGATCGCTGAACTGATGTTATTTTCGTGATAACGATTCCTTACTTATATTCATTGCTTCATTTTCGTTAATTTTCTTAAATACATCCGCAGATATGATCCTGATCTAGCCGAACAAAACATCCGTACAAGATTTATTAATCCTTACATTCTTTTCGTTATCAACTCAGATATAGTTGACATTCTTCTAGTTAATTTGACATTAGAAGAAAATCTGTACCAGATGGTTTTTAAGGTGCTACCGATTGTTGAGCTTCTTGAGTTTCTCCAAAAAGCAGCTAAATATTTTTCAGAAACCCTGAAGTTAATTTGACATCAAGTCTCCAGTTGATAGCCAAGTATAGCTGGTTGTTCAGTTACAGTTTTACAGATTCACTTCCACCATTAGCCACCACATACACTTAAACTAGTGGCATAAAATCTGGCGATCTGGCTGACTATTCAATACGTCCTCTTTGGTCTTCTTAGTTCATCTATTTATTTGAAAATACATCTTTTAAAAATGTAATGCATCCTCATCAAGTAGAATATTTCCATCCAACCCAATAGATTTTTGACATAAATCATTTGATCCTACCAGATGCCTGCCCACACATTATTTTCTTTTTAAGGATATTGTCAAATAAGGGTTTTTGTTGCTCCAATATCTACAATTATGTCTATTTACATATCCATGTAAAAAAAGTACATTTATCACTATTAATTGCACTTCTTTCACAAAACTATACTCTTTTTTTCTGTCTAAATCGTCTTCAGTTAGCTCTTGATGTATTTTCAATTTAAGGGAATAAAATTTATGATGTGTTATGATTTCATAAACACAACCTAAAGAAATTTTAATTGCACCAAAAATTTGACGTAATAAAGTATAGGATTTATGTCTAAACCCAACACTTCTACTTGAACGGCCTCATTTAGAACTCTCGGCGCATTATGTAGCAATTTTGTCTTCCAAATATTGAGGTATGAAGTTTTTAGACATAACAAGCAAGTTTGATTTGCTATCCCGTTTGAAAAGCGATCATTTACCAAAACAGTACGTCAAATAGAGAATTATATCATTTTGGAATTTTTATCCATTTTAATTTAGTATTAAAAAAATTCAATTACATCATATTAATTAGCCAAAATAAAATTTATTATTTTATATAATAACCACAAATATTTAGATCTCATAATATCCACATTAAACTCAATCTAAATTCCCAACACCGACAAGAATAACTTATAATTACTCAATTACATTATGTAATTAATAAATTGGTTCCCGCTGTTTTACCAACGCGAGATCTCATTAGTCAGAAGTCGAGAGCCGATCACAATCAGATCGAATTGGTTCACAGAAAACAGAATACCATAACAAAGTAACAAACCGCTTGTGCTGATGTGAGAGAATTTTATCACTTTTCCTTTCTCTTGATGGGAACAGACGTTGAAGTCGTCGCCGTCGCATACTGCGTAATGAAACCATCTGGTGAACCACCTCGTTTCATAATCATTACATCGTTACAGTTTAAAATTATAATTGAACAAACAAAGGAATTACTACATGTGATGAAATAAAATATTAAACATTAAACACAGAAATACTATTGTAGTATTATTTGCATATAGATTTATTGAGGAACTAGATTTAGTTCAGTTTTTAAACTAATTAACAAACATATAACGAACATAATGTGCGAAATATTCATGTTATGCGCGGTTCGAGCGGGTTCTTCAACCGGTTCAACTCGAAGATACCTATCTTTTTCCTTACCTATAAAATTATGATCAACGGTATTTACGCCTCCGTGGGCGCCAGATAAGAACAATTATCGCGTTCTGGAAAGGTAAATATTTTCACTGTGGTATTTCGAGAAATTTGTCGCAATCGCGCGGTGTTTTTCATGATAACCATCTAACGGAAAAAGTGGGAAATTATTTATTTGGTGTATTGAAGCATTACAATGGAATGAAAGTAACAATTTGTTGCTTTCGTTATTAAAAGAATTGGTTAAGTGATTGAAATTTATTATTAAATTATGTAGAAAGGTAAAAGTGATTTTTTGTTTGTTTTTTTTTGTGGAATGTTTATAGGGAAGCAATTTATTATCGTTATATCACCTATTTAAATTTATGTTAGACTTATATAACCAATAGTTTCTTTTTTATAGCTTTTTGTTAAAGCTAAATAGATTTCTAGTGTTGTGTTCATTCTGCATTTAAATTTATACTCAACAAATTTGTGTTTATGATATTTCAGCAATCCGTCATAAGTTTTTCTTTAAACCCAAAATCGTTTCACTTCCCAAACTTGTGATTGAATGATTCTAGTACTCAAAGCAACAGTTATTGACCCTTGAGATAAAATTCTTATGTAGTCTTATAAACTTCATATCAATATATG